AGACACTACCTCTAGCCGTTGGCCAGTGTCTAGCCTCTGGCTTAGTTTGTGCATTTGTATTTCATAAAATCATTCGAGGTCAACTGGGGCACCTCCTTGCCAAGTCCAATTCTAATGAACCAGAGACAGAGTCCATCGGCACTAAAAACATTGGATTTCTTTCAGATATAGCAGGTCCTAAAGGAACCCAGTTGAAAATAGTATATGGTGTTTTTGGCTATATGCAAGTCTTATCAGCCTGCTTCATGTCATTTGCTCATGGTGGAAATGATGTCTCCAATGCGATAGGCCCTCTGGCTGCAGCATTGTCCATTTTACAAGGCGGGCTCAGTGCAGCCGAGATTGTTATTCCTAACGATGTTCTAGCATGGGGAGGGTTTGGAATTGTGGCAGGGCTAGCAATGTGGGGATACAGAGTGATTTCAACTATCGGAAAGAAGATAACAGAATTAACGCCAACCCGAGGATTTGCAGCTGCATCGGTAGTATTATTCGCATCCAAGTTGGGGCTACCTATCTCAGCCACCCATACCCTAGTGGGTGCAGTCATGGGGGTCGGTTTTGCTAGAGGACTTAACAGTAGCGTAAGAGCAGAAACAGTGAAGGAGATTGTGACTTCCTGGATTGTGACTATTCCAGCTGGTGCTTTCTTTGCTGTCACCTATACATACTGACTAAGCTCCTAGCATACCTACTCTAAGTGAAAATTGAAAAACAAAAAATTATGATGTATTTATTAATTGTAAATCACGTAGATATACCTTCTATAGCGATTTGAATTTTTGAACCTTATTGGACTCTCTTGATCGAGAGTAGTAGTCCATCAGTCTGGAGAAAAGAACGAGAAATCCGGTTTTGCAGTACATCAGTCCCCTAGTTAAATTGTTTTATCCCTTGATGAACTAGTGCTTCAGGCTTCAGCTAGTTCTGCTCATTTTATAGTTTCATTCATAGAAGATCCAATATTTTATTTCACTTCCAAGCCTCTCATAAGCATTTTTTTTTTTCTTTAAGAATAGATTTTATATTGGACAAAATTATAATTTAATTATTTTTTTAATATTTAGATCTTTAAAATCAATTAAAATTTTGGTTATTAAATTTTTCTTTATTTGAATCATGTAGGTATTTCTAAAATTTAATAATTTAAAATGGAATAATATTTTAAGTACATAACTTATTTCCATGTTAGAATCGTGTAATCTATAACGAAGTAATCCTTGTTATTCACTTTTTCAATTACAAAAAGTGTATCCTCACTCTTTTTATAAATTTCGTATTATCCTTTTCCCCCGAAGTATTATATGATTGTCCCTTAATTCGTTTGGTGTTTTTTTTTTTTTAGTTCTATTCTAATTTCCTACTACTACTATTACGAGAGAATTTGATTTGGGTCTCACATCCTAAACAATAAATTTTGACTAAAAGCAAGTAATATGACAGACTTATCCAACATTTATGAATTATGTATATGGGTTTAGGATTTCATCTAATGTTGTTTGACTCAGTTTTCTCTAATACTAATTTATATATTTCCCTCATATAATCATTTAAGTTGTTAAGAATGTCGTACAATCAAATTTTATGTGTCATTTGAGGTATAATATTGGCAACATTAGAGATCATGTTTTTTTGGTGATAAAATCATTTTTTCTCTCTCCAACTTTTTACTTAACAATCAAAGTTAATTGTCTTCCAATTTTGAACAAATAGATATACATATTCCCTTCCTATCTCATAAAAAAATGCCTATTATAAGCTCATTATTATGAAGTATCAACATTTATTTTTTAATTAAAATTTTTTTCAGACAATGTACACGCGCAAAGCTGACATACCCTAGTAGAATATTAAAAGGAAATTAGAATCTGAAAGGCAAAACACATTTGTCTATCAGGAATCAAAGACTTCTCTGTATTATGCCTATAATTTGTTTACATCCACACAAATGTGATTAAATTTCCTCATCTTTTTTTTTCTTTTCCAGGTTGTTAATACAGAGTAGTAAAGTATAAAAACTTGTTGTGCTCCCTACTGGACCACTATGTCCATGCACTTGTTGCAGCGTAATTGATTCAAACAAATCAAAATTCAATATCTAATATTAAATCTTGCCTTTTAATAGGTGCAATGACAGAGGAAAACACCAAAAATAATAGATGATGGGATCATAGTAACGTTTCATGGTTCCATCATTGTTTTTTCATTTTTGATGATTTGAATTGGACAAATTGATATTTTTGTAAAACTTTTCTGAAATATAAATTGATGATTTGAAGGCCGATTTGAGGTCGGAATTGGATGATTTTGGTATGGTTGGATTCGTATTTGAATGCGGGTTCCGATTTTTTGAATTTTGTCCGGATCCGAGGTGCGAGCCCGTGGTTGACCTTTTGGGTTGACTTTTTTGTTTTCATTGATTATCAAAGCATTATTATCCGGAATTGTCGAGATCCGAGGTGCGAGCCCGTGGATTTAAAAAATGATTTGAAATGAGTAATTAATGTTAAGGGCAAAACACAAAAAATAAACTATTTTCTCTTGATATGCTATGCGAAAAATGACAAATAAAAATAAAAATTTATTTTTAATATACTTGACAACTAAAAGTGAACGGAGAGAGTAAAAGTGATAAATTTCAACATTTGACGAAGATGCAATGCATTAGCACCACTTCTTGCAATTCGTTTTTACTTTATTTCTCTAGCAAAATGCTTTTTTATGATGCAAATATACACTCTAATAAAGACCAAAAAATATTATTAGGATAGATTGGAAAAACTTAAAATGAAAGATTTAAAGGAAAAGATAAAAGAAAAAGATGAAGAGGAAGATCAAAAGTTACATTTTTCCAAATAATCGTGGACCTTTCAATTCCTCTCATTAATACCATTTTATTTTTTCGTATCAGACATTCTATGTATATATCTCTTTTAATTTTTATTTGTAACAAAAAGAAAACTTAAAGGCTGAATACATGCGCGGACCCTTAAACTTGTCCACTTTTTTCACTTAGATACTTATATTAAATCTTGTCACAATTAAACACCTGAACTCAAGCCCAAATATACCTGTGAGACACAACTCGCTGAGTTGGCACATAAAATTTATCTTACTTAAATAAAGCACGTGTTGCTGCGAAATGCGAAGATACTGCCGCAAATATAATTATCCGGTGACAAATTTGCTGCCACCTTTTACCAATTCCGGCACCGCCGTGACCACCGTTGTCACAGCACCTTCTTCTTCTTCTTCTTCTTCTTCTTCTTCTTCTTCTTCTTCTTCTTCTTCTTCTTCTTCTTCTTCTTCTTCTTCTTCTTCTTCTTCCTCTTCTCAGACCGGGGCATCACCACCTCTTTCCCCATCATAGATCTGGTCACCACCACAGAAACCTGGCAACTTTAAAACTTGTCACGACCACCTCTAAATTTTACTACTTTATAAGGGTCTACGTTTTACTACGCTAAAAAGGTCTGAATTTTACTACGCTAAAAAATAATCTAAACTAATCATAAACAACAAATAAATTTAATTGCAAATAAAATACAAAACAGAATGAAAAACATATATATAAATCAGGATATTAACAGACAAATTTATTTTACTAATTTATATTTTTTTAGAAAATACTAATATTAAATTCGGATAAATTTAACATGCTAGTTTCGAAAAAAAAAACACAAACCGAAATAGAAAACATACAAATCAAATAATATACATTATTATAAATGTTTCAACTTAAAATAAATCGAAATACCTCGATTTAGAATTTTGGCAAAGCAAAAAGATTGAAATTTTAACTCCGGAATTGTGAATCAACAATAGCACGAAACTCTACTTGAATGTGGGACCCTTTTTCTTCGAGTTTTATGTGTCGGAGGGACCCAAATTTTTTTTTGTTTAAAAGAAAATGACAGAAACGGTGGGGGACCAAGAAGAGGGGAAGGGTTTTAAAATAATGGTGGATGGATGAATTGGAGAAGAAGACGGAGGGGTATAAAAAATCTATGCATAACGCCACTATACCCGGCGCTATACATTAATGTTGTATATATAGCGCCAGGTATTGTGGCGCTGTGAGCACGTGATTTTTGTTTCGCGCGACAATTGCTCCAAAAGAAATAAAAAATAATAACAATTGGTCCTGCTGTACAATTTTTGGATTTTTACATGGCGCTTTGTTAATTATTTATGATTTTTGCCCATTTTATTTTATTAAAACAAAATACAAAAAAAATGTATGTGTCATG